AAACGCCCGGCCTTACATAAGTTATCACAAGTAAGCAAACGAACCAAGTTTACTATTAAACCAACTGCGATACCTATAAGGCCACCAATAGAAGAAATAATTGAACGTCAAAAAATCTACAGACAGGAGAAGGCCAGTTCACCGATGAAAATAATTGTTTCACTTTTGATCAAATCGATAATTCTGCCTAGAGTTTCATCCCTATACTCTGTCACACCATTTAAAAATAATCCAGTAGTGTATTTTGAAGGCATACGAGAAAAATTTCATTGATGCAGAGTGGCAGTTCGCCGAAAATTTAAGAGATCTACAAAAAATATCTGATATTCTTTTAACAAATCGCTCATGTTTGTTAAACCAACACATTTCTAAGCTGGTCTCATCGTTAGAGCAAAACAATGAACTTCTTCAGTATAAAGCTGCTGATGGATCGTTATCAGAACAAGTACGTCGATCGCCTTTCGATTTTGTTGGATCAAATATTCTGTTTGGCATCCGAGACCAAGATATAGCTAAAAAACTAAAAAACAAAACTGGTGATACAGAATTAAGTAGTCATGCCACGTTGGAGTAATACTTCTATACTAGAGACCACATTCAATTTAGTCAAACTATCTGATGAGAGATTCAGGGAATTAAGTTTCAGTATTCAGAATGCTTCGGAATCTGAATACTCTCTTGTAGTCGCCACTATTTCATTTATACTAATGATTTATACTAATGATACTAGAATAAGAGCAAAACTCAATCTTGGGTGCTATGACATCAACACAACAAGAACTTAACCATCACATTATAATTTCTCCAAAAGTTTTAAGGAAACAATTGTGCATCATAAGATGTCATATTCGACCTGGTAGCTACAGTCCCGAAATAAAAACTGCACAGCAACTTCTGCAACTATACAAATTAATGGCAATACGGGGGCGAATAACATCATCTCGCTTCATATTTGAATGCAAAATTCTGTTGCTACAAGCAGAATTGTATTAAATTTTCCACATAATCCTGATACCAACACTTCATGAGAATGATTTTGTAGTTGTCAACCCATCGTCGGGATACATCATAATTAATTTAGCTCGTGGCTTATATTATCCAGTTAAGGAAACTGAGTTTAAAAACTGCCTATCCGTTAACGTCAACAAATTTTACTGCCGGAAGTTGCATCCTATATACAACGAAAAATCCGCAGTTGCTCAATGTGAAGTTCAACTACTCAATCACCAGACAGAATTACCTGAAAGTTGATAACTGGATTTACGTTATGGAAAAAAGGATAACGTTCAACTTAATTTGTAACAACAATACCATCAGTTTAACATTATAGCAAGCAGGAATCTTACAACACTGCAAATTGAAACAACCAACAATGGCAATTTCTTCGTACGATGCTATTACCAGTTAAGTCGGATTATCGTATCTTCCTGCTATAAATAACATTAAGTTCTTAAACTCTATCCACAATTTACCACAAAATCAATTAGACAAAATAAGCACTAGGTATTTTGGAAATGTCTGTAAGGTTGAAGGACTACTGAACTGAACACAAACTAATCACAAACGAACAACTAGTTGATGTTCACAATGAGGTGCACTATGGAAATAGCACCGTCATCTATATAATCATACTAGCACTTGTATTATTTTTCATTACCACAAAATGGAGAGCTCGACAACAAATTCCACAGCCTAAACTCCGAGCTCGTAATCGTTCATCTATGACGGCTCACGGCTGCTCGTTTGCCTTTGAAAGGGAGAATGTTGTGTAACGACAATTATTCTGAATTCTAAATTTCTTGTTATTATTTTCCGATTTTTTTAAATTAGCAAAAGTGCTAAAATTACTAATTTGTCAAACTTAATAAAAACTAATTTGTCAAACATTATATTTAGTTAATGTAAATATTTTCTGAATCATCTCATCTGAAGATAAAATGTCCAATACTTTTTTTTTACCGGGAGGAAGAGTGAAAAATCTCGAAAGACACTGCCAGACGTAAAGCAGTAGTGTGGAACTTTAATCTAAAAAGCATCCTCCTCAAAATAAATTATAAAACGGAAACGACTAATTTGATTTTATTTTGGTCCAACTTTTTCGATTATTTTGATGCGTACTAAGTACACATTTTTCCAGATGAAAAACATTGAACTAACTCGAGAAGTCTCGTACGTTTAAGTCTCCTAACAAAATTTTGGTTGTGAACCAATCGAGTCGCCTCGATGTTGACATGATTGGATAAACGCATTGCTGAATTTCAGCATCCTCATCTGCTGGGTCGTTCTTATTCTTTTCAATCGTTTCAATTTGTCGTTCAGTCTTTATTTCTGTAATCTATAGTTCCATTTGTCAGCGTATGCTTTGCTCTTTTCATTACAATATCTTCCTTAAGTTCCAGAATAACCACCGAATGATCGGATTTAATATCATAGTTATCATGTAACCCAATTAAGTTTTTCGCAATCCGTTTGGTTTTGAAGAAATCCATTAAATCTGGACACATATTGAGATCGGTTGGTCAATACGTTAGCTTTGCAGTAGAGTGAAAAATGTACCGTGCGCCGCAAATTGCTGTACTAAGTTCGCGTCCTCTGGTTGTACTATGCCTTGAACCCCAAACAGTGTGCTTGCCGTTAAAGTCACCCCCAATACAAATCTGTTGACTACGGTGGCCCAGAATGTTTTGAAACTTTTCTGCCGTTATTTTAAATTTAGGGTTTAAAATTAGGACGATATAATGCAGCCAGTCTAAATTTTTGCTTAGTCGAAGTGATCTGAGCCGCCGTTATTTGTATTCCCTCGGCTTGCAACTGGTGCAGATCACAGGGTGCTATATTTTCTTTTATTTTTATCGCCGTTCCGCCTTTCGCTATATTTCCAGGGTGGTTAAAGTTGTAAATTCTATAACCTCGAAACTAATGTTTTGCATCATTTTTCGCATTTTATATAAATAATTCACGTCACTAGCCCTTGCTTTATTGCTCGTGTTAGTTATATCGGTTTTCGTTCGAAGAACGTCCTTGTGTGCTACATCTTTTGATGCTACTCTAGAAGTGAGTTGTCTCGGTAGCCGGTTAGAATTCTTCTTTAAACTGTTGTTGTTTTTGTTATTATGTTGTTGTATTTCTACGTTTTCGCAGTTTCTTAGCTACAAGTCGTCCCCCATAGTTTGCTGGGTGGGCCTCCAAACAATTGCAGCACTTTACGGCAGCACTGCTTGGCTTACTACAATCTGCCTGCCTGGGCATTTAACACAATTTGGTTCTCTCTGGCAAAATTTTTGTGTGTGTCCAAACCTTTGACACTTTTTACACTGTGGAATGGTCCTATTCTTTCGAAGTTCCTCTATCCTAACTTTCATCCTGTTTATGTGATCGATTTCATAAATTTTTTTATCTTCTCGTCATTTGAGAACGTTAACATAAACAGCGGTGGAGGTACCTCATTTTCTTTTATTTTTTTAATATTATTTGTTACATCTAAGATCTTGTAACTACTGTAGCTTAGGTCTTCCTTTATATCTTCCGGTTTACAACTGGAGTGAAGATTTCTTACCATGACCCTTATTGGCCTGGCCTGCTTGTTTTCATAGGTATGCCCAGATCCTTCTAGACATTCATTCTAGTCCAGATCCTTTCAAGACTCTGTTAAGATTCCTGAAATCCATTTTTAAATCCACAATAAACTTCAATTGATTATTATTCATCATTTTAACTTTATAATTGATGTCCCGATTTTTTAAAGTTGACTCTAACTGACTATAGTCAACTACATTACTTATGACTACTGGAGGCGGCTTAGAGTTTTTCGTGATATCGCCTCGATTTTTAGGATCAGGAACATCGGAAATGATTCGGCTTTTTCTTTTTTTATTGGACCTCTTTTACTTTAGGATCCAATGTTGCTCTGGCGAGTTCTTCCTTATGTGTTTAGGTGTTTTAGATTGATCTTATCAGCTTTTCTTGTGGTGTAACGTCTTTTTCTTTATGACTACTATCATTAGACTTATTGTTTGTAATTTGCCCATGTTTCTCATTCGTTAACTTTCCATTCAGTTCTTCAGTTCATAGTTGAAGAGCCTCGTTTTTCAAAGCCACACAGAGCGGTTCTAGTTGACTAATTTATGTCGAACTATTAAACGAATCGCTAATACGAGACAGAACAATATAATTAGCTTAACAGAGAGCATGTTTAAAGCCAAAGAAATCTATAAATGTAGCAAATGCACGAGTGTTTGAAATGGATTCGAACGATGTTATAAGTGTTTGTATTTAAAGTAGAAAAAAACCTTTAAAACGAGCACTTCGATCATCCACAAAAGAAGGTGAAAAACAATTACAACTAAATTTTCCTGTCTCTAGTGTATCTACGCAACAGTAGACACGTTTCAAATAGAACATAATGAGGATGATTTTTATATAACGTTGCTGAGTGACACATCAATCAGCGATTATCCGGAAGAAAATGAGCTAAACGAAAATTAACTATCATGAATTCATCAAGAAGTACTCCAACTAGTGGCGCGATCCTAGCTGAATTGCAAAAAATTAAGCAAAAAAAATATATTAAAACTATTGAAATATCAGGGGTAAAAATATACATTACAACTAACGAGATGGATATTTATCTCGAACTTCCACCATCAAAAAACCAAAAACTATCTTTTTGGTGAGTCCAAAAAGATAGTTCTTAACCTCAAAAATACTGATATGAAATACGAAATTACTTGATAACCGCAGTTTCCGAGGAAGGCGAAATTGCTGAATGTTTTAATGATTCCTTTGTGAATGTTATTGAAAGAATTGATATTCCAGCAGATTCGGTCGATCAGATGTATATAAACCACTTTAAGTCAACAATTTCTTCTAGTTTTTATATGTGGCCTACTGATGCGAAAGAGGTGAAAAATGGGATTTTTTCACTTAACTCGGCAACAACAACTGAATGTGTTGGAATTTCGGTAAAATTAAACAAAAAATTTTGCGGACCTTTGCGGAAAATGCTGGTAAAATTAATAAAAAGGTGTTTTGAGATATCTTGTTTCCCAGAATCAGTGAAGAGGGCCATAGTAACTCCAGTTCACAAGGGTGGTGCAAAAAATAATTTTTCGAACTATAGACCAATCGCGGCTTTACTTGCACTATCGAAAGCATTTGGAATGATGGCGAAAAACCGTCTAACGTATTTCTTGAGAAACAATGGTCTTCATAGGGAACAATATGGCTTTGAAACAAAGCTCAGCACTACTGCAGCGTGTCTCAGTCTGGCAGATTTTATATCAATAAACTCGGATAGTAGTAAATGCGTTGCTTGCGTCTTTTTGGACATCGGATTCAATTCATTCGCTCTTACAGATGGATCGTCAATGTGCGAATCGGGGAAAGTTGCAGTGTACCGAAGAAAAGGAGTTCCTAGAGGATCTATTTTGGGTTCCGATTCACTTAAAACATATACAAATGATATAGGAAAATTAAACTTGAAAGGATCTATTCAACTTTATGTAGGCGACGCGGTTTTGAAATATGCTGTAACCAACAAGGCAAATTTCAAGGATGCAATTGAAGATCTATTAACGGTGGATAACTGACGCAAGAAACGAACTTTTGTAAAATATTGAGAAAACGAAAATTATGGCGTTTGGTAATAGAGGAACTGGAGATATTTTTGTTCAATATGGTGTTGTTGCTGTTGGAGTGTTGAAAACATTCAATTGTTTAGGTTTGGTCTATGATAGTGCGCAAAAATGGGTAGGACATATGGAACTTGTAATTAAAAAAATTTCACTCCATGTTTTTATCCTCAGGCAACTTTGAATATATGTACTTACTTGTCTGCTGACTTTTATATTACTTCCTATATTTTGTCGAAAGTAATTTACTTAAATCCTTTATTGAGTAGGGCATCACAAACCGTCTTGGCTAAATTAAATGTAGTTTATAAGAAAGCAATTAAAACCATAAAGAGGCTTCCTGTTAGGTATTCCAGTGATATGCTATATGACGAGCGGAATTTAAGTTTAGATATCTTATGTAAGAAGAGCTATATACATATACATTCAAATAGCATTCAAATTAATATATAATTCTATTAAGCATAATTTTATTCTGAGTAGAAATATAGAGATTCATGCTCATAAAACCAGAAATAGGTTGAAATTCTACTTGAGTTTTTTTAGAACTAAATCAAAAGAAAGAATAATTTTGTCCTTGTAATTGCCTTGAAATTTATAACAAGTCAACGGAGCTTAAGGTGGAAAATGTTTGTCTTTTCAAAAGAAGAATAAAAAAATATACATATAACAATAGTAGAATAATATGCGTTCTGTGTTAGCTTTAAAACGTTTTTGAATTTGGAATATAATAGTTCTTCTTAGCTAAATATTTTCGATTATTTACTATTTGTTTGTTTATATAAATTTTTTAATATTTGTAAAAATTAACGTAAGCAGGGAATAAATTATTTTAAGATATGTATGTACATTATTTTGAAATCGATAATTATTATAATTTTGTTAAAAGTACAGCTTAAGCTAAGATCTAAAATTAATATCGTTTTAATTTTATTATATGTAATCTCCAAGATTTTGTAATTTTTCACTTGTAAAATAAATAAAGAAAAAAAATTGTCAGCCAAAAAAAAAAATGCATCTAACAAATTTTGAGGTTTTTGCAGAGTCTAGTACGGCAGCGAATAGAATCTTTGTGAATAACAAATTAAAAAATTACATCAATTATCTGTACAAAATAGCTAGAGATCTGAAAAGATCAAAAGTTAGGCAGCTTGTGTGGTTTAAAAATGGTAAACTTCTGGTGAGGAAGAAAACATACAGCAAGCTTATGGTCCAAATTAAAACAAGTAAAAACGTTTCAGTCGGTATAAAGCGACTGAATAATACCCTCCATTTTGACAATCTGTATTTAAAAATTAGTTTTTGAAACATTTAGAAATAACTTTGACTGCTAAATTACTTGAACCTGTCAAACCACTCGATAGAAACTTCACGAATATGATGTCTGACCTATAAGTGGGCATACGATGACCGAGTTTCATGAAACTAACTTTAATATTTTTCCAAATATTTAAAATTAACGTTCGGAGTTGTATGGCAGCTACATGAACCAGTGCAGCCATTCCTATAAAAATTTTTAGAACATATGTGAAGTATAATTGGACACATCCTTGCAAAATTTGATATAAATATCTCTATTACTTTTGAAGTATTTGAAAAAAACTCTTTCAGTTGTATGGCAGCTACTCGAACCCGTTGGCCGAATTGGTCCAATTACAATAGCAACCGTCGTTCGCATAAAAGAAAAAACTTGTGTAAGTTTGGTTTCGACTGCATTATTCGTTTTTGAGTTATCGTGCGATCGGATGGACGGACGGACATGTCTGAATCGATGCAGAATTTTACGCTGAGCAAGAATATATGTATGACATATGTCCACACCGGAGATGACTTGTTTAAGTGGTTACAAACTCCATACCAAAGAGAATAGAGCCTTCACGAAGTGCAAGGTATAAAAATGACTAATAAAGATTTTAGTAGTGCTTGAGTTATATATCCTCTTCCAGTATAGACAAAATTTCAATACTAATTAAGCGATACTTTTTATTTTCTTTATTTTGTTTTTTCTAATGATATATCGCATTTCAATATAACTCAAAATATACTTTTTGTTTTTCTCGTTTTGTTTTTTTATTATTTAAATCACACATGTTGGCTTAAGCCGTCGTACTAAGAGTTATGTTACATAACTAATAAAAATAGAATCTAATATTACAAACATTTAATATAGTTTTTTTGTTTCTTGTATAAAATTTATGCATTGAAATTATCGCTTAATAAACTATTCCGTGTGAAAATATTTCTAAAAAAAATAAAAATCTAATAATTTCGTGTGAAAATATTTCTAAAAAAATAAAAATCTAAAAAATAATTCTTTTCAGCAAATTGGTTTTCTAATGTAAAATAAAAAAAGAAAAAAGTAAAAACAAATTTTGCTTTTAAATATTTTTTGTAAAAGCAAGGAAAAATTATAACTTGGTTTAATTTTTCTTTTCTTAAAAATTGGGAATCGAAAATTGATTGTCAAAGAATTAAGTTTGAATAAAAAAGTTTTTTATTAAGCGAGAGAAAAAAAAAAAGAATATTAAATAATTTTTGAAAAAGTGGATATATAATTAAATTAAGTTTTATTTTTTTTGTAATAATTAAAAGAAAAAGAAATTAATAAATAAAAATAAAAAAAAATATAACAATTAATATTAAAATTGTTTTAATTAATCGAAGAAAAAGGAAATTAATTAATAAAAAGTAACAGGAACTTTTTTTGTGATTTGTTAAAATAACAAATAATACAAAAGTGGCGCAGTCGGTAGGATACCGACACTGCTCCATATAATAAAACAAAAATAACAAATCGAAATACAGTTAAAAATAAAAAAGAAAAAAAATAAAAAACAGTTCGCGAAAACAATATTTTATTAACTTTGAAAAAAAAAAATAAATAAAAAAAATAAGTAGTGAATTACAAAAAAACAATCATTTTACTATACTGTATTCGGGTTATTATCATTATTATAAAAAGTGAACAGTGTTACTTTCAAGTATTTATCGGTAAAAAGAAATAAATAACCTGTTACTTATACTTAATGAGCGATTCTGATTTAGACGGAATTGCATTAACACTTCAACATTTAAAAATACAAAATAATAATCATAAAATGGTACTCTCAGGCTTTACCTTAAGTGATGTGGTAAGGGAAGCCAGAAGTGTCCCAGAATTCACCGGTACTGGACACTACGAGGTATCCAGTTTCATCAACGAAGTGGAGTCTTTAACAGCGATGTTAACCGACGCAGAACACAAAAAATATGTACTGAGGATATTGCTCGGAAAAATCCAAGGGCCAGCGGCGATATCCATTAGGAGACTCAACGAGGCAACATGGGAACAAATAAAAGCACAGCTCATCAAATCATTTGGGGTACAAGAAACATACCTAAAATTGAAAGAAGAAGCAGAAAAAGTCCAATTCCGAACGGTAAGCCAAATTTATCACGATCTTAGTAATATATTAGATAAACTAAATTATAAGTACCAATTAGATACTCTAAAACCTATTGATTACAAACCGACGTGTAATGAAAGTAGTATATTGGGGAAATTCCTTTCAAAAATAAATAGGAATGACTCTATTTATTTAAGAACAAGAAATGTTAAAAGCTTGGACGAAGCTTATAACGAATTATTACAAACCGGAATTATGGTTAGTCGTAGTAATTCCAGTGTAAATGCTAGGTCAACTCGTTCCAATAGCAATTTTCAAAATAGTAATTAATAGCGGTAACAATTATGTTATAATAATAATTTTCATAATAATAGTAACAGCATTCAAAATAATAACCGCGATAGATATAACAATTATGATTGCCATGGTTATCGCAGCCAATTCTCTAATAATAATAATAACGACCGCGGTAATCGTAGCCAAAATAATAGAAATTTTTTTTCGAATAATAACCAAATTAATAGAAATTTTTTTTCGAATAATAGCCGAAATTCTCAAAATTTTTTTCCAAATGACACAAATACAAATAGAAATACTAATTTTGATAATAATAGAGCGCGAAATGATAATCGAAATTATGAACCAATGGAGGTCGATTATAATACAACCAACCACAATAATAACTCAAGCCAACGTAATAATAATACGGAAAACTCGCGTAACATAGAAAATTTTCGAACTTCACACCTCACCACCAATTACCCATAGCAGAACTTACCATAGAAAATATGAAAATTAATTGTCTTATAGATACTGGTGCTGCTACGTCAATAATAAATCCAAATATTTTTCCAGTAGAAAGGCAATCGCAATTAAAAACGCCCATTTATTTAGCTACCTTAATGGGACATAGAATTATACAGCGTGAAATTATCACGAAAACTCCTTCCGAATTTAACGAAAATACAACGATGATTTGGAAAGTTTTTAATTTAAAGAATAAAAATTTCGACGCCATTTTAGGCCAAAATGTGCTTACACCAATTGGTGCCAGGATCGATTTATTAGAAAATGCGATCGAAGTTAATGGTATTAAAACCAAATTTAAATATGCTTGCCCATATAATGAAGTTTTCCAATTAGAAATTTTAAATATGAACCATTGTGATTTATTTGAAAATTTAAGAACTGAACATATGAACACTAAAGAATGTAAAATTATAAAAGGGATATTATCAAAAAATAATGATTTATTTTATAAAGAGGGAGATACTCTTACACATATAAACGAAGTAAAACACCAAATTATAACAAAACATTCACGACCAATATATTCGAAAACATATCGTTTTCCTAAAATACATGAAATTGAAGTAGAGAGACAAGTAAAAGAAATGATCACTCAAGGTATAGTCCAACCTAGTAATTCCGCATATAACTCTCCGATCTGGGTGGTTCCAAAGAAAATGGATAACTCAGGTAAACCTAAGTGGAGAATCGTAGTCGATTATAGGAAATTGAACGAAATTACAACGGACGACAAATTTCCTATTCCGAATATGGACTCCCTTT